AATTAACCACCACTAAACTACGAATTAAACATAAACCTGTAACAAATAAGCTTGTGCCGGAGGCCCCGGGGGGTCAGGCTTTTATGACGTCTCCTGGCCAAACCCCATTTGGCGGAGCCAGGAGATTGAATTTTCACCCTCGGGGCTCCTCCAGAAACAACAAAAAACCATTGCGGATGGCCACGTGGAATGTTCGAACGCTCACTGCGGAGGAGAGGCTGCCACTCCTCTGTCGGGAGCTGGACCGGTACCGCCTGGATCTCTGTGGCATTCAGGAGGTCCGGTGGACCGGTTCTGGCTCCTGCCACCATGAGGGGTGGACAGTCCTCTACTCGGGGCAGGAGACTGCCAAACAACAGGGTGTGGATCTTCTTCTGAACAAAAGAATGAAGGGGGCGTGGGAGCGTGGCGGTGAGGTGTGGGAAGCTGTAAGCCCTAGGATACTTTGGGCTCGCCTTCCCATCAACCAGAGGCGAGGAGTGGTGGTCGTGGTTACTTATGCCCCCACCGAAGACGAACATCCGTGGAGGGATGCAGGCAAAACCGATGAGTCAGACGCTTTCTATGACCTCCTGTCACAGGTGCTTGCTAAAGTGGCCACTCGGGACAGAGTCATCTTGTTGGTGACTTCAATGCCCGAGTTGGTCATGATGCTGGCACCTGGTCTGGAGTGATTGGAAGGCATGGGCCAGATCAGCTCAATAATAATGGTAGGAGGCTGCTAGATTTTTGTGCAGCCCATGGGCTTGTAATTACCAACACGCTCTTCCGGCATCGGCGCATCCACACAACATCATGGATACATGCCAGGTCCAAGCAAGAACATCTGCTGGACTACCTACATCTCTGCTTTATTGACCTGGTCAAGGCCTATGATACCATCAGTAGGACTGGGCTCTGGGTTGTTCTTCGTGCTTTCGGAGTCCCTGACCCTCTGCTCACGATCATTAAGGACCTTCATGATGGTGAGCGGGCCCGGGTAAAACTACGTGGCCGGGAGTCGGAGCCTTTCCCTGTACACCTTGGGGTGCGACAGGGATGTCCTCTGGCTCCCACATTATTTAACATCTATTTTGACCGCGTAGTTCGTGAAGCCTTCAATAGCTGTACCGGGGGAATTTCCATTTGGTACAGATACAATGGGAGGCTTATCGATGCCCGGGTGCGATCAAGGGATGGCTCCCTATTGGTCAACCATGTTATGTATGCCGATGATTTGGTAATAGCTGCTCATTCAGAAGAGGAGTTGGAGACGCTGCTGCTGAGACTGGAGCGTGCCACTAAGAGGTGGGGCCTTACCATCAGCCCCACCAAAACTAAGCACCTTCCTGGGTATTTTGTACCATCGGACACTCCACCCCCACAACTCCCAATTGGTGATGGGGCAGTAGTGGAGAGAGTGGAGAGTTTCCCATACCTGGGCAGTGTGCTTATGACCGGCTCCAGTTTATCAGCAGAGGTCTCCGAATCAGTCGAGCGGCAATATCTTTTCATCGGTTGCGTAACGCTGTGTGGAAGCTACCTGGTCTGTCGCTCCGCACGAAGCTTCAGGTCTTCTCGGCCACGGTCATTCCCTCCCTTCTCTACGCTTGCGAAACGTGGACCCCCCTAGTGGAGCATCTTCGCCGGTTGGAAACATTTAGGCTGGCCTGCCTACGATCCATCCTGGGTTTAACCAGGCTGGATTGTGTGAGGAGCTCACAAATCCTTGAAAGATCTGGGCAAAGTCCCATCAGTGAGCTCCTCCGGCAGGCAAGGCTGCGTTGGCTGGGTCATGTAGCCCGCATGCCCAGCCACCGCATGCCTAAACAGCTTTTGTTCGGCCGGATCGAGGGGGCTAAACGGGCGCGGCACGGGCTGGAGAAGAGATGGAGTGATGTGGTACAGGAGGACGTGGAGCTGAGTGGACTTGCCGATGACTGGTACCAGCGGTGTCAAGATCGGCCTCAGTGGAGGAGGCTCGTGAAGGACGCTACTGGGCAGTTGGAAGCAGTCGCCCTCCAACAACAACGGAGGGCGGAGGAGCAACGCTCACAACAACGAGCGGAGCGCCGGGTGGCTAAAGCACAGCAAGTTGGTACAGTAGGGGGCACAGGTGGTGCATCAGCCAGTCATCTCGGTCATCTCGGTCAGTCGACCCATGGCACCTGCTGGGTCTGCCCTGTGACCTCCTGCCAGCGGGCGTTCGACACTTCACGTGGCCTCAAGGTGCACTTGGCCTGGCACAAGCGTCGTGGTGACGTCACCGCCACTTAGTGGCGAATGGCGGTTGTTGTTGTTGTTGTTGTGTATATATGTGTGTGTGCGCGGCACGGGCTAGAGAAGAGATGAAGTGATGTGGTACAGGAGGACGTGGAGCTGAGTGGACTTGCCGATGACTGGTACCAGCGGTGTCAAGATCGGCCTCTGTGGGGGAGGCTCGTGAAGGATGCTACTGGGCAGTTGTAGGCAATCGCCCTCCAACAACAACGGAGGGCGGAGGAGCGACGCTCACAACAACGAGCGGAGCGCCGGGCAGCTAAAGCACAGCAATTTGGCACAGTAGGGGGCACAGGTGGTGCATCTACTTGTCATCTCAGTCGACCCATGGCACCTGCTGGGTCGGTCCCGTGACCTCCTCTTGTACCTAGCCTGGCACAGCAGTACAACCCATGGCACCTACTGGGTCTGTCCCGTGACCTCCTCCTGCACCTAGCCTGACACAGCAGCACAACCCATGGCACCTGCTGGATCTGTCCGGTGACCTCGTGCACCTAGCCTGGCACAGCAGTACAACCCATGGCACCTGCTGGGTCTGTCCCGTGACCTCCTCCTGCACCTAGCCTGGCACAGCAGTACAACCCATGGCACCTGCTGGGTCTGTTCCATGACCTCCTCCTGCACCTAGCCTGGCACAGCAGTACAACCCATGGCACCTGCTGGATCTGTCCGGTGACCTCGTGCACCTAGCCTGGCACAGCAGTACAACCCATGGCACCTGCTGGGTCTGTCCCGTGACTTCCTCCTGCACCTAGCCTGGCACAGCAAAACAACCCATGTCACCTACTGGATCTGTCCCGTGACCTCGTGCACCTAGCCTGGCACAGCAGTACAACCCATAGCACCTGCTGGGTCTGTCCCATGACTTCCTCCTGCACCTAGCCTGGCACAGCAGTACAACCCATGACACCTGCTGGGTCTGTCCCGAGACCCCCTGTCAGCAGAGAGCCTTCGACACTTCCTGTGGCTTCAAAGTGCACCTAGCCTGGCACAGGCGCCGTGGTGATGTCACCGTCACTTAGCGGCAAATGGCGCGCGTATCGGTATTGTATTTTTGGAAATTTGATTACATGGATAGTTTTGTTTGCTACTCGAATCCACTGAAGGTAAGTTTAACACGTAGTAGGCTGTCGCAAACAATATTATTCATTGGTCCACGCCAGCTGTCTCTGGTGTGGACCAATCAGTTTCAAGGACAATGCATAAATTATCAGAGTATTGTTTTTTGTTTGCATTTGACTGCAAGTATTGTGGTTAATGTAAGCATGATTCCTTGCAAAAGGTGTCAGTTTTGTTGCCAGAAAAAAGGGGAAAAACCCTATTAGTATATTTTGGTACTGGCAAAGGAGGTCCCGTGATCTTAACACGGCTGTTTTGTTGCCAGAAAAAAGAGGAAAATCCCCATTCTCATTAGTGACGTAGCTTGTGTAAAAGGTTTAACTTTGGTGTTGTAACATCTTCACACGTCTATTATCATTAGTGACGCTGCTTGTGCAGTAGCACACCCACCCCTTGGACTAAAGACCCCATGCAGTTATCTCACTTCCTTCTTTGAAGTCACCGCTGTCTGGGCAACCTCACCTGGCCTCGTCGAACACGAGAGGGGGTGGGGGTGCTGAGGCATCCATTGGGCTGTCAGAGTGTGACGGGGGCAGGTAGCGCCTCCCACTGTGCATTTATAAACACTCACGCAGAGGTAATAGCCACTCACACACACTTACACACACACTCACACAGAGGTGACAGCCACACACACACACTCACTCACACACACTCACTCACACACACTCACACACAGAGGTGACAGCCGCACACACACACTCACACACTCACACGCAGAGGTGACAACCACACACACATACTCACACACACACACTCACACACAAAGGTGACAGCCACACACACACACGCGGTGCCACTGAACGCGTGCATCGAATCATCATCGGTCACTCCACGGACCTGTGACTTGGGCTAACAAATGTGAGTATTCAACTCTGTGCGAGTGTCTGAGTGTGTAAGTGCACCTAGCCTGGCACAGGTGACGTGGTGACGTCAGCGCCACTTAGCGGCGAATGGCGCGTATTGGTATGGATGTTGGACTTCTTTTGCACCGTACGTAGCCAACCGTGGCTAATCGGAGGTGTGGCTTGAATGACAACAATCTAAATACAACAACAACAGCAGCACTCAGCTCTCAAGGAATGAGTGTTCGATCTCGATCATTTAAAAGTGGCCTCCTAATATCGCAAGGAAGAGCGTTCCAGACGGCCGCAAAAGCGCATCTCAAAGCGTGCGAGGCGGTGTGTGTGTGTGTGTAGGTCGACTCAGCCTCAAATGTGTACTCTGTACGGTGTGTAGCCAACATCGCCACTAGGGAGACAAAGGCGGTCGGGCGTGGTACTGGCCACCCACCCCCTCGTGTGCCGTGCCGGCAGCCTTCATAACAGAGGTCGCAACCGGGTACCCGATACCCGTACCCTACCCGATACCCGGCAACCCGTACACGGCCGGGTACGGGTACGGGTACCCGTTTGCGACCCTGGTGCGGCCAGGTACGGGTACGGGTAAGGAATCAAAACCCGTTTGTGACCTCTGCTTCATAGCTGCTGCTACTCGCTAACAGCACTTGCCCCTACAGTCTGTTAGAGGCTACACGGGGGATCTTTGTGTAGGTGAGCGAGTTGAGATCTTTGATCTTTGAACTTTGTGTGTGCTGAGCTGTAGTGTAGCGGGTAGCGCTACGAACCCGGCGACAGGAGATGGGTTCCCGCTCACGGCCAACACCGCCGGTCACGATCATCTGAACCGGTCCCGGGCCTCCCCTAGGTCAACTCAGCCTCCAATGAGCACCTCCAGCGGTGTGTAGTAAACATCGCTAGCACTTTTTCTTCTTGGTTCTTTCGGTAAAGTCACGTAGAATGGAAATAATAAAATAATAAAAATAAAACATAATAAAATAATTCTCACGACGTTTCGGCCACAACGCAAGCAGCCGTCCTCAGGTGAAGAACAGGTCTGTCGAGTAGACAGAGTCTGAATGACAGACCTTCTCTCCACCTGAGGATGGCTGCTTGCGTTGTGGCCGAAACGTCGTGAGAATTAATTTATTATGTTTTAGTTTTTATTATTTTATTATTTCCATTCTACGTGACTTTTCCGAAAGAACCAAGAAGATGAATCCCTGCAGTCACGAAAGAAGCTTTAAATCGAAATTTTATCGCTAGCACTGTGGGAGACACAAAGGCGGCCGGGCTTGGTGCTGGCCACCCACCCCCACCTCGTGTGTCACAGTGCCGGCCGTCGTAGGTGCTACAGGCCAATAACACTTGCCCCTACAGTCTGTTAGAGGCTAAACGGAAATCGTTAGTTTTGTATTTCACGCGCATACATCTACGGTGAGTGTACAACACGGACGGGTTTATAAGAGGAATATGCGAACATTGGCGTCGTGACCTTCACCAGGTAAGGAACCGGTTGGACTCCGCTCTGTGGTTACCGGTCTCAACCGGGAGATTCCGTGACACTTACTTTTCTCACTACGAGATTCAGGCTTCGTTCAGATTCACTGCCCCTTGTGAGTGACGTCCTTTATTTAACCACCAGTTGAGAGCGCTCCCATTGAGAGTCATTGCCCCTTGTTATTGGCGTCCTTTATTTAACCACCAGCTTAGAGACCTCCCATTGAGATGCATTGCCTCTTGTGATTGACGTCCTTTATTTAACCACGAGCTGAGAGCGCTCCCATTCAGGTGAACGGTCTCGTGTTGATGAGTCTTGCCGCACGGTGAAGTGGGATGTTGTATACTAGATTTGTGTTTCTATTTCATTTATACCTGATGATGATTGCTTGTGTTGCAATCGAAACGTCGTATGCTATTATTTGATTTATTATTTTATATGTATACGTGACTTTAACCTAAAGAACCAAAGAGTAATTCCTGCAGTCACGAAAGCTCCAAATTAAGTTTGGGATGTTGTGACTGCCAAACGATGAACTAATTTGTTAACCGTTTTGTAACTTGTTCATTTTACAGAATTCCTGTTCTACGTTCGTCAAGAAATGGCCCTGATATCTACACTTGGAAGAACAACAACAATGTTCATGATAAAAATAGCATTATTTGGTAAGTAGCATCATCATCACCACCACCACCACCACGTGTTGCCTGTAACAGAGTGTTGGGGCAAGCGCTGAACGAGGGCTGAGGGTTGAGTGACTGGAGCAGTGGTCACGTAGGGTCACGTAGGAGTCACGTGGGGGTCACGTGGGAGGAGCGGAGTAGTGAGACGCAGTGGAGAAGAGGGGAGGAGGCTCTCAGAGCGGAATGGAAGAAGGCTAAGAAGGAGGAGGAGTGCTTCATGTACAGGGGCACTGCTGAGTCTATGTGTAGCAGTGTTGAGTCTGTGAGTAGTGTTGAATCTATGGGTAGCAGTGTTGAGTCTATGTGTAGCAGTGCTGAGTCTATGAGTAGCAGTGTTGAGTCTATGAGTAGTGTTGAATCTATGGGTAGCAGTGTTGAGTCTATGAGTAGCAGTGCTGAGTCTATGAGTAGTGTTGAGTCTATGGGTAGCAGTGCTGAGTCTATGGGTAGTGTTGAGTCTAAGGTAGCAGTGCTGAGTCTATAGGTAGTGTTGAGTCTATGGGTAGCAGTGCTGTGTCTATGGGTAGCAGTGTTGAGTCTATGTGCAGTGTTGAGTCTATGTGCAGTGTTGAGTCTATGGTGCAGTGCTGAGTCTCTGGGTAGCAGTGCTGAGTCTATGGGTGGCAGTGCTGAGTCTATGGGGAGTGTTGAGTTTATGGGCAGTGGTGAGTCTATAGGCAGTGTTGAGTCTATGGTGCAGTGTTGAGTCTATGGGCAGTGTTGAGTCTATGGTGCAGTGTTGAATCTATGGTGCAGTGTTGAATCTATGGTGCAGTGTTGTCTATGGTGCAGTGTTGAATCTATGGTGCAGTCTGAGTCTATGTGCAGTGCTGAGTCTATGGTACAGTGTTGAGTCTATGGTGCAGTGCTGAGTCTCTGGTACAGTGTTGAGTCTATGGTTCAGTGTTGAGTCTATGGTGCAGTGTTGAGTCTATGGTGCAGTGTTGAGTCTATGGTACAGTGTTGAGTCTATGGTGCAGTGTTGAGTCTATGGTGCAGTGTTGAGTCTATGGTGCAGTGCTGAGTCTATGGTTAGCAGTGTTGAGTCTCAAGGTGTTATCAGTTTTGGCACGAGCACAGTCCACGTGCAAGGCGTTACACAAGCTCGTCACTCAACCATAAATCAATTCATAAAACTCGGCCGGTACGGCACACAAGTAGGTGGGTGGCCAGCACCACGCCCGCCCGGCCGCCTTTTGTCTCCCCCCTACCGGTTCAGATAATCGCTGTCACTGGTGCTGGTGGTGGCCGTGAGTGGGAATCGAACTCGTGTCTCCGCCGGATTCGTGACCACCACTGCCCACACAAAGACAGACACAAACATAAAAACACACACACACAGAAACACACACAGTCACACACATAGAGACCACACAAAGACACACATACAGAGACACACACAGACAAAGATACACACAAAGACACACAAAGACACACGTAGAGACACACAAAGACACACACAAAGATAAACAGGGACCCATAGACTCACACAGAGACCCACCGACTCACACAGAGACCCACAGACTCACACAGAGACCCACCGACTCACACAGAGACCCACAGACTCACACAAAGAATGCAACCTTCACCTTGTTACCTGGTCACCAACAGCACACTTTTATGAGATGTTGTATGACTCTTAAATGTAATTACGAGTTCCAAGTCCTGAGTCAAGGTCATACACACTCTCTCTCTCTCTTTCATAACTGCAGAGAAGTGAGGTTTACGATGGTCGTGTTTGCACCACAATCAATGAGTGTGAGTGGATGTGCGGAGAGCGGTGGCGCAGCGGTTAGCGCTGCGCTACGAGCCCAGGAGAAACCCGAGTTCGATTCCAGCCCATGGCCAACACCACTAACACCAGTGACGATTGTCCGACCCCGGTCTTGGGGACTCTCCTATGTAAACTTAGCCTCAAATAGAGACACAGAGAGAAACATAGACTCACACAGAGACCTGTAAACGTCGCCACTGGGGAGACAAAGGCGGCCGGGCAGGCATGATGCTGGACCCCCCCCCTCGTGTGCCGTGCCGGCCTTAGTAGGCGCTGCCACTCACTGCTAACAGCAATTGTCCCAACAGTCTGTGAAGGCTGTGCGAGCGATGGTTGTCTTTGTGTTCATATTCTTAGGTTTTTTCGGTAAAGTCACGTAGGTAAAAAATTAAAATGAAAATTAATAAAAGTAAAATAAAAGAAAAAAAGAAAAATCACGACGTTTCGGAGGCAACACAAGCTTCCGTCTTCAGGTGGAACCGTCACAGCACGCTTGCTTGATACAGCTATCATGCTGTGACGGTTCCACCTGAAGACGGAAGCTTGTGTTGCCTCCGAAACGTCGTGATTTTTCTTTTTTTTCTTTTATTTTACTTTTATTAATTTTTATTTTTATTTTTTATCTACGTGACTTTACCGAAAAAACCTAAGACTATGAATTCTTGGAGTCACGAAAGCTTCAAATCTAGAATTGTCTTTGTTTGGATGTGTGATTGGGCATGTCCGCCCCTGTAAGGTCAAACAATGAGCAACATCGATTCCTTGGGGGGCATTCGAGGAATTTGTTTGCCTGTTTGCTAACGGTTCTTCGGGGTTATTTAAAAATCGGCTGATCGTGACATTTCCTCTTCTCTGTGCCCGTCAGGGCGCTTGAGAACGTGCGCGTGTTTTGTCATGCCCGCTTCACAGTACGTCACACGGAGTGACTATTCACAAACTCATAGACTCAACACTGCCCATAGACTCAACACTGCACCATAGACTCAAGAATGCCCCATAGACTCAGCACTACCCATAGACTCAACACTGCCCATAGACTCAACACTGCACCATAGACTCAACACTGCACATAGACTCAACACTGCACCATAGACTCAACACTGCACCATAGTTTTTTTTTCTTCTTGTTTCTTTCGGTAAAGTCACGTAGAAGGGAAGTAATAAAATAATAAAAATAAAACATAATAAAACAATTCTCACGACGTTTCGGCTACAACGCAAGCAGCCGTCTTCAGGTGAAGAATGAGACACTACCAAACTAGGAGCTTATATATAAGCTGCATTGGGGGTTGAAGAGCGCCTTAACAAAAAGAATGTGCATGTGAAGAGGAATTTAGCATATTCATGGAAAATGCGTAGGCGTTGGGCGGGGGGGTGTCAAAGTCATATTATGCCCATGCATTATGCAGGATCAGCAGCAACCAAGGGGGGTGCAGGGATTAGCAGTAACAAAGGAAAGGAATGTTAATGATATGTAGCTGCAGTTACTCAACAACCACGTAGAAAACTAAAGTATAAACTACATATAGACTCAACACTGCACATAGACTTAACACTGCCCATAGACTCAACACTGCCCGTAGACTCACCACTGCCCATAGACTCAGCACTCGTGTCTCCGCCGGATTCGTGACCACCACTGCCCACACAAAGACAGACACAAACATAAAAACACACACACAGAAACACACACAGTCACACACACACAGACACAGACTCACCCATACAGACACGCACAATCACATACAGAGACACACACAGACAAAGATACACACAGAGACACACAAAGACACATACACACAGACACACGCAGAGACCCATAGACTCACACAAAGAATGCAACCTTCACCTTGTTACCTGGTCACCAACAGCACATATAGACTCAACACTGCACCATAGACTCAACACTGCACCATAGACTCAACACTGCCCATAGACTCAACACTTCCCGTAGACTCAACACTGCCCATAGACTCAACACTACCCATAGACTCAGCACTGCCCATAGACTCAACACTGCCCCTGGCCTCAACACTGACCTTAGACTCAACACTACTCATAGACTTAACACTGCCCCATAGACTCAGCACTGCCCATGGCTCAACACTGCACCATAGATTCAACACTCCCCATAGAAAGGATTTCACACCTGATGATGAGTGTTTGTGTTGCAGTCGAAACGTCGTGAGAATTTTATTGTTTTAAATATTTATTATTTTATTATTTCCCTTCTATGTGACTTTACCGAAAGAACCAAGAATATGAATCTCTGCAGTCACGAAAGCTTTAAACAAAAAAAAACTGCACATAGACTCAAAACTGCCCATAGCCTCAACACTGCCCTTAGACTCAACACTGCCCACACACTCAGTAATGCACCATTAAGCTCAACACTGCGCCATATACTTAACACTGCAGCATAGACTCAACACTGCCCTTAGACTCAACACTGCCCATAGCCTCAACACTGCCCATAGACTCAGCACTGCACCATAGACTCAACACTGCTACCCATAGACTCAGCACTGCTACCCATAGACTCAACACTGCTACCCATAGACTCAACACTCATACCCATAGACTCAACACTGCTACCCATAGACTCAACACTGCTACCCATAGACTCAACACTGCTACCCATAGACTCAGCACTGCTACCCATAGACTCAACACTGCTACCCATAGACTCAACACTGATACCCATAGACTCAGCACTGCTACCCATAGACTCAACACTGCTACCCATAGACTCAACACTGCTACCCATAGACTCAGCACTGCTACCCATAGACTCAGCACTGCTACCCATAGACTCAACATTGCTACCTATAGACTCAACACTGCTACCCATAAACTCAACACTGCACCATAGACTCAACACTGCACTATAAACTCAACACTGCACCATAAACTCAACACTGGCCATAAACTCAGCACTGCTCCTAGATTTAACATCATTGCAAATACAAAGATCGCCCCTATATAGCCTCAAATGGCTTTTGGGGCAAGTGTGGTTAGCGAGTGGCAGCACCTATGAAGGCCGGCATTGTGCAGGGGGGGGGGGGGTGGGTGGCTAACAGCGATGTTTACTGCACACCGCACCGGGTACCGATTTGAGACTAAGTCGACCTCGGTGGAGTCCCAGGACTGGTTTAGACAATCGTCGCTGGTGTTGGCCGTGAGCGGGAGTTGAACTCGGGTCGCCGGG